ACCAAGTGAACCCAGTGGTTTATTAAAAATAAGACAAAGAAGGAGGAGAAAAAAGAGGTAACATGAAGGTGGGAGGTGGATGTGGTGGGGGGGAGGTCTGAGGGTTGTTGAATGTGAGGAATGGGGGTAGAAATGACCAAAATAGATTGTATGCATGTATGAAATTCTCAAAAAATAAAAATGAGGGGGCTGGAGAGATGGCTCAGTGGTTAAGAGCACCGACTGCTCTTGCAGAGGACCTGGGTTCTATTCCCAGCACCCACATGGCAGCTACGAACCATCCTTAACTCCAGTTCCAGGGGAATCTGAAGCCCTCTTCTGACCTCCGCTACATTGCATGACACGGGTGCACTCACATACATGCAGGCAACACACTCACATACATAAAAAATAAATAAAATATTAATCTATATATATTTTAAAAAAGAAAACATGTACGTGAAACTGGGTAAAAATAAGAATAATCCAAGTTTAAAATATTTACTACTAAAATAAATACTAAAAATAATAGCAACAAGAAAAAATCTTACAAAAATGACAGAGGGGAAAAAGGAAGACAAGAAATTAGATATAGGTCTACTATTAGAATCCATTAGTGTGGTGCAAATTCTGACCAGAGTCTACCGAACTTCTCTGTTTCTACCTTATTGGTTGGTGCTGTTTGTGGGATGAGACCCGGCAGATCAAGTGTAGGTTGACAGTGTGAGATCTGCATTGACTTTAGAAGCATCCTTGCTTTGCTTACCTGGATCCATTCATGGCCAGGGATCTTTGCAGCCTGGGAGGTGGGAAGGTTCTCATTGTTTTAAGGGATCTTCCTTTTATGTGCCCAAAGGCACACACATTCAAGCCAAGGGTGTGTCCTGAGAAGACAAACAAAACACTGAGTTCTGTATTGATGGGGCAGAGCAGAAGGAACTGGGCACTGTGCTCATCAGTCTCCGTGCTTTCAGATCCTGAAAAGCGGTAAATCAACCAGCAGGATGGCGGAGAATGTGGAAATTGGGTGATCTATACAATCTGGGCTTCTAGCTCTCAGTCCTGCCTGGCAGAAAACCATACCTTGCAGAGAAGCAGCTACAAAGGCAGAGCATGTGGTCTCGGCACTCTTAGTGTCTTTAATAATCCATATGCAAAAAGACTTACATCTGTGGTCTCATTCTATAGCTCCAGCTCTGTACAGTTTAAACTGCTTACCATAGATATCAGACACTGACCTTCTCTGTGAAAGACTCTCGTGGTCCTCTTTTGTACAGACAGTGCAGCAAGGTGTTCCTGCACTCCCTGACCTGTGACTTTTCTTGTTTACAGGTTCCTAAAGTTACTCAGGCTCAAATAATAAACCCTATCTCAGAGTGGTGTCTGGCTATAGCACTACATGATATGGGGAGTTGTACAGTTGATCTTTCTGTGAAGGACCTTCTCTGTGAAGGACTCTCGTGGTCCTCTTTTGTACAGACAGTGCAGCAAGGTGTTCCTGCACTCCCTGACTTGTGATTTTTCTTGTTTACAGGTCCCTAAAGTTACTCAGGCTCAAATAATAAGCCCTATCTCAGAGTGGTGCCTGGCTATAGCACTACATGATATGGGGAGTTGTACAGTTGATCTTTCTAAGCTGGTCTGCTAAGCAGAAGTTGTTAGAACAAATCACTCACATACCCCAGTCCAACATGTGCTCCCCATGCACACACAGACAGACGGACAGACACACACACAGACACACACACATACAGACACACACACACACACACACACACACAAGACACAGACACACACGCTCTATTTTAAGCCTTGAAAGAACCGTATGTTTCTTCCGAGGCTAGAACTGGTGATCTGTTGTTCCCAGGGCCTCTTCCTCCCTCCAGACTTACCTAGTTATTGTGGCTTTTGGTTCCCAAATATTCATGTATCAACCCCATCCCACATTTCTTGTCCATGTGATTCCAGAGAGTGAACCTAAGAGCTTTGGATTCTTCAACTATCAAAATGAAACAAGAGTATCTGCGAGGGGTTAGGCCTGCAGCCTTTTTTCTCTTCTCTTCGTGATGACTGTGTGTCTATGCTTTTCAGCTGAGTGATCACCGTGCTTACCAATGCTCCTTCTCTTTCAGTCTTTGGAATTTAGGATCCCCTCTGTTACCCAGACTCTTCACATTTATACGTGCCACAGAGGAAACTTCTAACATCTTACATAGAACCTCACTCAACCTATCTTTAATACTTTAAAACTTCAATTGCTGTAGATTTGTCCATTCACATTTAGAGGGTGAACGAAATGTAAGAATAAATAAAACCCGTAATTAAGACTTCCTGAGGCCATGATTGCCATGTCATTTATATATTCAAAGTGAGGTAAAGCATGAAGAGGAGGATGCACTCCATTTACCTGATTCCCTGTGAGTGAGGAATGTAGGGCCCTAAGCCTCTTTCTCAGTCTTCAGATTTTTTTTTTCTTTCTTTCTTTTTTTGGATGACACAAAGTACTTCTTCATTTCCCAGAACCACTGAATCTAGGGTGAGGTATTCAGGAAGCAATTTTTATTGGATAAGGTAAAATTGTGCTGCAGAAGAGAAAAGAAGGGGAGGAAAGGAAGGGAGCTGAGACATGAGGGCAGCAGAGCATGGGATTTCACCATTGGCTTATGGAGTGGTAAAGAACTTGAGGCTCAGGGGGAATTGACTAAGAGATGATCTAAGGGATTTGGAGAAGAGCTATAAAATGAAAACAATGATGTAGACTCTAAATACGTCTAACATTCACACTATAGAGACAAAGATTCCACATGTACCAAGATGTCGCCTGCAGGCCGATTTTCAAGTTCAAGGTACAGAAACCCTAAAGTCCCTGAATGTTCCCTTTTAGACAGTGTCAAAAAACAGTTCAAGAATCTCTTTAACCAAAGTTATTTCCTGGTTTTTGCTGATGATCTCCTCCCTGTGGGCCACCTGTCAAATGGAAATGGACAGGCACTACAACAGACGTCTCCCCGCCAAAGTATTCCTATGAGTAGTCTGCAGCAAGCAACATGCTAACTACATCACAGAAAATTCCAGGCCACATTCAGTGAAATCCTAAGATTCCTCTGAGCACAGAGGTGTGTGTCACTGTGTTTGAAATGAACCTGATGAGTGAGGGGACATGCATGGAAAGACCAGGTGAAATAGAAAATCGATGTTTACGTTCTGCCAGGAGGAAGACAGCTGTGTAATTTGTTCTTGGGATCTCTGGCTTGATTATCAGCAGAACTTTTGGAATCCACCTGCAGGAAATCTCACACTTTCTGATAATTTCCTTATAGTTTTGGAGTGTTGGGACAACAAACCATTGTATATAATTCCTTGGGCAAAAGTGAACCCAACTGAATCCATTCTTTCTGAATACTTCACAATAAAGACATTTGTGAAGAGTGAAAATTTATTAACAGTGTTGAGAACCTGTCAGACACTGTGCAATGTGGCAAACATTCCACTTATGTATGAACCCATGAGCCTTAAATGAGAAGCAGGATGCAGAGATGAGTTTATTAACAGTGTTGAGAACCTGTCAGACGCTGTGCAATGTGGCAAACCTTCACTTATGTATGAACCCATGAGCCTTAAATGAGAAGCAGGATGCAGAGATGAGACCCCTGAGCAGAAGGTCTGTCGTGTGAGGTTGGCCCAGCTATGCCAGTAATGCCACAACATGTTCTAGAGGCCCAGTTGGCATTTACCCCATTTCATTATAATTTCCATGTCTTCCATTCTCCCATCAGTTTGTCATCTCCAATCCAACTGCCACGCTTTGAGCTGAGCTCTTTTCACATTGTTTGGCATCTCCAGAACATTCACTACTTTTCAGAGAATCCACACATGACCTCAGCTTCCTAAACCTGGGCTCAGAGTGGAGAGAAGGGGAAATATTTTAAAGGATGCCTCCTCCAACTGACTCATATAATCAGACACAAGCTGACACACTGTTGGTCACTACGCTCCTCCCGCCAGATTGGAAAGCTGAGTCCTGCTGACCATTTAAGTTCCAAAATTGGATCCACGACAAGAATATTTTAGCCCAGAGTAGTAGTCATCCTTCATATAAGAAAGAAAATTCTAGAATCATCACATATCTATCTAAAGTTTATTGTCTGATCAGAATTCAGATTGAACATTGTCCAAACTCTTTTCAGTGTCCAAGTTGAAGGATGTTCCTCTAGCTTAGGCTGCTTGTTTCTAGAATATGGGGTAGTTATATTTACTTCCTATTTCCGAAACCACATCGATGACACTTAAAATGGACACATGACAACATGAACAAGAGAAGTGAATGTCTTGATATTGAAGAAAAAGAGGCGTGTGGTGCTGATATTGTCCTTCTACTTCTGTAACATATTGTGGAAAGTCCTAATTCTCCTTCCCCCCTCCTCCTTCAAAACACCTGCAATGAGCCTGGTTAGAAAGGAGAGCCAGCCGAAAAGCATACTCTTAAGAATCACTGCTTCTCCTTAATATCATCATTGACTTTTTTCCAATTGTGGTTCTCAAAGCTTTTTAATGCCATCTTCCTAGTCAGTAGATTAGTCAAGCTCACAGACCAAAGACCTAGACAACACTGATTTCCTCTTGTGGGGGCTCTGAACAGTCCTGCAATTTCCAGTGCCAGGCTTTCCTCAAAGTTACATAAATTAACCCATGACATCAAAGGATTTCTAAGGGTCCTGCATGGTCTCTAACTTTCATCTGCTCAGCCTAAGAAAGCCCAGCTGTGTAGGTAGGATTTGGCTTCCCCTGTTTCCCTCATGCCAGCATCCCTCCAAGAATTAATTATTCTCCTCTGCTCTGAGAAGAAAAATTTCCTTATCACCTGTAGGTCTCCTACTCACAAGGGGACCAAACAAAGGAGAGCTGATGCAAGACTTGGGGATGGGGAAACCTGCAGGTGTGTGTGTGCATTCAGAGGCAATGACCCCTTAACCCCTGCCCAGGATGTCGTCATCTCCCTCCAGAGAGATATAAAGACAGGCTCTCCTCCAGCATTCCCTACCTTCTGCCACCATGAAGTCACTCCTGATTCTGGCCCTTGTGGGAGCTGCTGGTGAGTTCCATGCCTTGGGTCAGACCTTTCCTTCCCACCAACTGGAACATGAGAACTCTGCCATCATTACTGTTTCTCCCACCCAGGTTCTAACCTTCTCCCTGACCCTCAGCGTCCTCCTTCCAGTTTCCTAGGCTCTCAGTCTTCACCTTTCTCTCTTCTGTATGAATCCCATCTCTTCACCATTCTTCATTGAATTCAGAGCCTTAATCAGAGAAGCCAGAAAGGAAGGCCTGGAGAGGTCCCATGAAATGAAGCATGAGGCCTATTTCTTGGCTCCCACCATTCTGTGAGAGCTCCACCATACCTGTTCTCAAAGAAAACTGTACCTGGGAACATTTAAATGACTTTTTCCAAAGACTCACCCATTAGAATTCTGACCCACCTGCCCGGGGGTGGCACTGCCTACACCTGGCTGGGTCATACTGTATCAATTAATGATTAGGTAAATGCCTCACAGACATACCCACAGGTCTACAGGCCAATTTGATCCTGGAAAATTTTTTAGATGAGATTCTCACTTCCTGGGTGAGTCAAATTGACAATTGAAGTCAACTATAAAAGCCTTCCTCTCTATTCCAACCTCACTTTGCAGAGTTGAATTGTTCTATAAGCCGGGCAGAACTCAGTCTGCTTGGCCAGGGTATTTTCCTAGCTAGACCAAAATATCCTGATATGCTGAAAATTCAATATTCATGTGTCATAGACAAGTGATGAATTCGAGAGTAAAGTAGGCAGTGGACAAGACAACTGATTTCTAAACTGGATCCCACTAAGTGCTGTTCTGACTCAGAAAGAATAAGAAATCTGGAAGAAATCTGCCCCAGAGGATCTAGATATCTATCCTACAGAGCCTTGCCTACAGGAGACAGTACAATCTCTGGTTTCCTATAGCCATTGTGCTCAGGAAGGAATCCTAATAGAAGGAAGTTGCCATGGAGCTGAGGGATTCACTCACCAATATCCTGATAAACTGGTTTCTCCTTTCCTGTTTCCACTCTAGTTGCTTTCCCTGTTGATGATGATGACAAGATCGTCGGAGGCTACACCTGCCAGCAGAATTCTGTCCCCTACCAGGTGTCCCTGAACTCTGGCTACCACTTCTGTGGAGGCTCCCTCATCAACAACCAGTGGGTAGTATCTGCTGCTCACTGCTACAAGTCGTAAGTGCTGGGCCCTGACTCCAGAAACCACAGACTGGGACACCTTGTAGAGTGTGACATAAGTCTGGTCAAATGTTGACCTTGTAAGGTAAATGGGGAAAGTCACAGAGAAGGTACATAGGGCAGCTGATGTGATGAGCTGTGGGTAAACACTGACACACAATAGAGAGCCTCTCATACACCTGCCCTCAGAGACTCTCGTAGAATAGCAAGGACTGTGGATCATCAGACAAAGGAAGATTTATTTTGCCATCAAAGAGACCAGTGAGGAAGGCAGGCAAGGTCTTTGCACAAGGACTTCAGCTGGGTCCTATGGAAGGAACATGTGCTTGGGTTTTCAGAAGCATGACTGAATACTGAATTCTTAGTTTTCTTCTGCTACTGATTTTAATGTATACTCAGACCTGAGAAACACTGTCTCTACCATGGGTTCTTAGTTTTGAGTATGCATCAGAAAGATGAAGAGGGCCCTTGACTCTGTCTGATTCAGTAGCCTTGGAGTTTGGAACAAGAATGTGACCTTCTCTCAAGGTATCTAGTCATCTTGCTGCAGGTCCTGATACCATACTTTGGGACCTACTGGATTACATTCCACTGAACAATAGTTCTTACCAAGGGAAAAAGAGTAAGTGAACTTTTCTATTTGTAGTTACCAAAGACACAGAATATGAAGTGAGCTTCAAATAACTTTTTGTGTCCATAGCTCTGGATACATAAGAGGCTTTGGTAGAGGATTCTAGAACTGCAGTTCATCGATTCATCCCTTGTGTATATTCTGTCTCTGAAAAAGAAAGGGCTAGTGCCCAAACCAGATTCCTTCCACCACGCCTCTGCTTCCCACTGACTCACAATCCTCCAGAGCCACCTATGACCAAGGCACTTTGAAACATTGGAGTATTTTGAACAAGAGATGGAAAACCTCTCTTATTTGTTTATTCTCTTCTCAACAGCCGCATCCAGGTGAGGCTGGGAGAGCACAACATCAATGTCGTTGAGGGCGACGAGCAGTTCATCACTGCTTCCAAGATCATCCGCCACCCCAGCTACAGTAGCTGGACACTGGACAATGACATCATGCTGATCAAACTCTCTTCCCCTGTAACCGTCAATGCCCGGGTGGCCCCTGTATCTCTGCCTACCTCCTGTGCACCTGCTGGCACTCAGTGTCTCATCTCTGGCTGGGGCAACACCCTGAGCAACGGTGGTGAGTACGACCTTTCCCCTACTATATCCCTCTCTCCTCATATTTCCCAGAACCAAGCATGTCTCAGTTTGAACACATTGGTTTGCATCCTGCAAATGTGTTTGAAATGTCCACTCTAAGAAGGCTCTGCAGGGTACCAGAGAGATACAAAGTCCCAAGAAGAGATCTTCGGAACCTGGAGAGAACAAACACCCAGCAGGCTGTTACTATTATCCTTCCAAGAACAGGATCAATAATGGTCATTCTGGAGTTCTAAAGAGCTACAGTTCTTTCCTGGGACTTAAACTCTTACTGTCATTTCTAGAGGATATCCACTGGTGTTTGGGCTAAATTACTGTTGCACAGAGCATTCTGACTAACGTTTCTTCTTTCTTTGACCCTTACCTTTCTCAAAGTCAACAACCCTGACCTGCTGCAGTGCCTGGATGCCCCACTGCTGTCTCAGTCTGCCTGTGAAGCTGCCTACCCTGGGCAGATCACCAAAAACATGGTCTGTGCTGGCTTCCTCGAGGGAGGCAAGGATTCCTGCCAGGTGACTGACTCCCTTCACACATCAAGACTCTTGTTCTCCTAGGAGAGGGTTTGAATGCTCGAGAGTATGAGGCAGGGAGGGATATGCAGTGGCTCCATGGAGATGTGAGGAAGTCTCCTCTGGGTGGCATCACATCTTTTTAGTATGAATACAGGATGGGCAACCATAAAGAAAGAGATGGAGCCACAGCATGGCTAGAACGGGGTATTAAGCTTAGAATAACGTGGCTCTATTTCTTCCCGCCTCCTTTTTAAACACTCTATTCCTCTATCCAGGGTGACTCTGGTGGTCCTGTGGTCTGCAAGGGACAGCTTCAGGGAGTCGTCTCCTGGGGCTATGGCTGTGCCCAGAAGGGCCTTCCTGGAGTGTACACCAAAGTGTGCAACTATGTGGACTGGATTCAGTCCACCATTGCTGCCAACTGAAGGCCTCCAGTCCCTCTGCGGTCACTACGCCAATAAAGTGAATTTGTCCTCACTGCTTGTGTCTCTGCTTGCTCACTCTAGGTCCTGGCTTTGAGAAATATGGTCTTGTTTGAAATATTTGAAGTTAGAGTTTCCCCACTGAGAGATAAATAGAAACCCTGGATTGCAAAATATGTCACATGAAATAATCAGCAACGTGTGAAACACGAAATCAAAAAAATGTATCAGTGGAGCAATAGGGGGTAGTTTTTGTTTTTCAAGAAAAAGCAATTCGGAATAGTGAAGCTAAAGATTTTTCTCCCTCGGTACTTCGGAGGGTCATGAAGGTGTTAATGTGTACACACACTGTTTTGGCTGACAAGACTTCTGTCATCCTTGAGTGTGGCAGGAACCTCCTTGTGCATAGAATAAACCAGCAATGACTGGCCACCTTGGTTTCTGAGTCCTCTCACGTTCATTTTTTGTTTTGTGTTGTTTTTCCATACACCGTCCTGCCATATAACCAAGACTGGCCTCAAACTTGTAGGTTTCTGCTTCAGATCTGCAGAGTGCTTAAGACTGAGGTTAGACCACCGTGCCTGACTCTATAAGCAAGCGCTCATAATAATACAGTGTATTCCATTCAGCAGCTGGTGCCCTATCTAGAGAAGGTCTCACTGGTCATTTTCCAAATTCTTCCTTGTGCTTCTAGATAAAAAGGAACAGCTCCCTGGTCTATATCTCTCAGAGTCCAAAGCAGTCTCATTTCTGTTTACATCACACAATAATACTAATATGTATGGACCATTCTGAGAACTTAGTAGACATGTTTACATTTACTTAATTCCCCTTTCTGTAAGTGGTTATTCCTGTGGCACAAATAGAAAGCAAAGGTTTAGTAAAGATTATTCACTCATTCCCATCTTACCTAGCACATAATAGACCTGGTAGTTGCCAGAATTGCTTGACCATTTGTGAGCTTGCCTGCTGTCCTCCTATTCTGTTTCTACTGGATGGTCTGAGGTAAAGAGGAGCCTATCAAACTCCATTTTCAGTGTTTCTGCAGCCCACCACCAGCAACACTACATCGCTGCTTCCACACAGACCATGAAAGTCTCCCCCACTCCCTGAGCCCAGCTGCTCTTAGAGCTACTGCTTGTTTGCCTTTGGGATTCACACTTTTCTTGGCTTCCCGCAGTGTTCAAGAGAACACCTAAGCTCCTTCTCATGGAAACGCAGGGCAGTCCTTGTTTTACCTTTGTTCCGGTTTTCTTTGTTCCTGTGATAAATCTTTCTGAAAAGAGGCAGTTTAGGGGAGGAAAGGATTTATCTGCCTTATACTTGAAGGTCTCAGTCCATTATTGAAGGGAGTCTGGGCAGGAACTTCCGGCAGGAACCTCAAGCAGAAACCAAGGAGGAATGCAACTGGGGCTCATGCTTAGTTGGCTTTATTATGCAACCCAGGACCACCTGCCTAAGGATGGGTCTGTCCACGGTGGACAGGGCCCTCCTACATTAATCAACAATCAAGAGAATCCCCCATAGCCATGTCCACAGGCCAGTTTAATCCAGGCAGTTCTTCAATGGAGGCTTTCTTCTCGGACGACTCAAGGCTGTATCAAGTTGACTACTAAAGCTAACCAGGACAGCCTTTGTCTGCACATCCACTTCAGGCCCCTCTAAGCCTCTCTACCATAGCTCGGATGTCCCAATGGCCTAATGAGTCATGCATTTCTATGTAGTCTCTGAACACTGTTGCTCCATCATCCTAGATGTCTTTTCCCACCCCTCCACCCTCTGCATGAAAGTTTTCTGATCCTTCTCCCCTCAAGCTTTTGTTGGTCCCTCTGGTCTCAGGAACTAGTTGGCGTCATCCTTTCCCATGTCCACATCTATCTGCATCTTGCCCTTGCTGTCCTGTCATTCAACTGTGAACCCCTTGACAAGAAATTCTGTTTTAGTCATCTTGATATCCCCAGTGTTTAAGCAAAGCTTGGCACATAATAAACAACCAGTGAATAAGTGAATAAAGCATGCAGGAGTAAAGATGAAGGTTCTGAGAAGGATGCTCGAAGACTGTCCCTGGATATTAGTGTACACCTATAATTCTAGCACTTGGGAGGCAGGCGGATTGCTACAAGTCTGTAGTCAGTTAGCCAGTCTGGTCTCCACAGTGAATACGAGATCAGCTCGGGCTACAGAGCGAAAACCTATAATTAATAAATAAATTAATAAATAAATTAATTAATTAAAATCATCAACAGCAATAAAAACCATCCTAGACCACTCTTGACCCTTACATGGGTTACTTCATTTAGTACGCACAACCCAATAAAGTAGGTACTATAATTATTATCATTATTACCTATTTCATAGATAAAGAGCCTAAAAGTTAAAGAGGTTTCATAATGTACCCAAGTCTCCTAGCCATAAAAGTTGGCCTGGTATGAATCCAGACAGACACCAGGAATGGGCTTTCCTGAGGGACATGAGTCTCAGCAAGGTGCGGCCCAGAACTTGAGTACGAAGTCTTGAGAGGTGGTTTAGCCTCTGTCTCTTTGTCAAAAGTTAGCTCATTTTAACTTCCTCAACTGAGAAAATTGTGGGGGGGAAATAGGTTGAAATTAAACTGTACACATTTTTTGAAATTTTTCAAAATTTGCTCTTGCATAAAATGCTATTTGTGTGGCTCCCCATCTCTCCCCCCTCTTCTCCAACACACTCCTTGAAAAAGACTCCACTTTCCCTTTCTGTCCCCACTAGGGCTCTGCATACTCTTCTTACCCCCTCTGATGGCCAAGCCAAAATTGCAATTGCTTAGGCCAAAAAAATAAAATAAAATAAGGAAGGGCTGCCCCCTGCTGTCCATGTTGATGAAAAGCTCACCTCAACTTGATTCTTGCCCAACTGGTCAACTGGTCTATTACACAGAAAGAAAGAAGGAAAAAGGAGGGAGGGAGGGAGGGAGGGAGGGAAAGAAAGAGGAAGGAAGAAGGAAGGAAGGGAGGGAGGGAGGGAGGGAAGGAGGGAGGGATGGAGGGAGGGATGGAGGGAGGGAAGAACCAACCACAGCAGCAAAACTCGGAAAACTCCCCAGACACTATGACACCAAGACAGAACTGTATTATTGGCTTCAAGGCCAGTTGAGATTAAGGTGCCCAGCTGGACAGCTAAAAGGAAACTCTGACTTAGTGAGTAAATTACTGATAAGGAAAAGGGATGAATAAGACATCAAAACATACAAAAAGATAGATCAAAATAAATTGTATACCTCAGTAGAAAGAATAAAGAATGGGCTTTGCATCCTTCCAAATGATGAAAGTAATTGGGCCTTTTTCTTAGGCTTATGGCAGAGTTGTGAGATCTGCCACTCTTAACGAGGTAAACATACTGTCTTTCCTTCTCTTTCCCCTATAAGAGCCATGTCCTGCATGAAATTTCTAAGGGATGGTGCCTCACTGAGCAAATGCAAGATCAGGAAACAGCTTCTACATAAAGCAATCTTTGGGAACAATAATGACTTTAAAACGATTTATTTTTAAATAGTAGATTGCCATATACATTATTTAAAACAGTATTTTATTACTTATCATTCTTTTTAAAGTTGTATTGATTTGGGACTTGATTTAAAATAAATAATGTTGCTGTTGCCATATTGCCCCAAATTTGAAAACACATAACAAAATTAGCACTGAGAAGTGCAATTTGTATTTTCGCCTGTCTTCAATGGGTAATTGCTTTTAACAGCTTGTTCTCTATTTTTCCTTTTTCTTTTTGTCTTTGTTAACAGTTCTGGTCTCAGCCATTCCAGGTAAGAAGTCCACCGCTAAGCTATAGTGTCTCCCTCTTCCCAGTTCATCTTTAGGAAATATCAAATAAATAAATGGTGATGATCCTTATAAATTCTATATCCTGTCCTGTTCATTAAACGAAAGGTATCAAACATGTATGCAATCCTGAAAAGTGTTCTTTTCCAGTTAACTCTGTGTGAGAGAGTGTGTATATTCCCACAGCAATATAAAACATTCCCTTTCTTTAGAAAGTGTTGATTATACACTACTTTGTGGAGTTATCTATCAGTCTATTGATGTCGCTATTAATGTGCACCTGGGGTTTTTTCCCTATCTTTTACTATTGTAACTGATACAAGCACTAAACACTCATTCTATTTATTTTCCTTTTCTTGGATTTTTTGAGACGAGGTCTTACTCTGTAGCCCAGGCTGGTCTGGACCTCATCATGTACACCAGGCTAACTTTGAACTCATGACAATCCTCCTACCTCAGCTTCCTGAGAGCTGTCATTTTTGCATGTATACAAGAGTTCCTACAAGATAAATTTCCTTCAATGAGGTTTCTGAATGAAAATGAGAAAGCATTTATAGCTTAACGGTTGTTTTCTGTTTTGTTTTGTTTTTTCTATGAGTTGTGTCATTTTGTACTCCAACTAGGAACCAATATAGAAAAGTCTTTATTTCACTGCAACTTTTTTCAAATTGCTGAAACGCATTATTAGAATGTAGTTTTACATTGTATTATCATTGTGAGAATTTTTTCCTGAACTTAAACACCATTTTAATTTCCTTTTCTCTGAAACACCTGCTGTTTTTCCTTTCTTATTGGCTGTTGGATTATCTTCTTATTTATTTCTAGAAATTTAAAATATATTGGGGAAAGCAGCCCCAGTGGTGACAATTACAAAGATTTTTCCCAGGTTGTCATTTATCTTTTTTTTCTATACAAATGTGACAAAATTATTTAGTAAAGTCTGTGGTATTTTTTTTCCTTCATCTGATTTTTAAGTCACAATCAGACAAGCAATAAAAGAAAACGCCATCAGAAAGCTACCTAGGGCCATCTAGGCCAGATTGAATTTCAGAACCTGGTGTTTTGTTGTTGTTGTTTTTATTTGTTGAGACAGGCTCTCACCACATAGACCTGGCTGGCCTTGAACTTACTAAGTAAACCAGGCTGGCCCAAACTCACAGAGATCAACCCGTCTCTGCCTCCTAAGTGCTGAGATTAAAGGCATATGCCACTGTGCCCTGCCAGAGTCATTTTGTATAAGGAAATTAAAATATTTACCAACAGCTAGTTATGTCTTCAAGGACAAAATATTGATCACTGGACCTTGGGATGATATTGAAATGATTTCTAAGCAGTGTCTCCACTCAGCCTCCACAGGGACTTCCCTCCAACTCCCTTTACCTCGTTCTGAGGCCAACAACGAGAGGTCAGGATGGCTGATAACACCTCAGCTCTTATTCTGTAGCCATTCTTGGAAATGCGACACTTTTGGCTCTCATTCTGTCCTAGAATTCCAGACTCCAGGTGGCCACTGTAAAAGGCTTAAGTATGTCACAAACAGAGTCTAAGTACAGAGGGGTCTTGTTCTTGGGTGGAATATGTGACCTCTGGCTGATACACAGGCTTGCGGTGGGGCGGGGCCAGGCTAGACTAGGGGCTGCTATTTCTTCATAGGGTGACTCCCTCCTATGACGACAATGTCAGGAAGAGCAGAGGCTGGGGATTCCAGACCCTTAGCAAACAGCATTGCAAAGACACTAAGAGCAAGCACGAGAAGGGCAGGGGGTGAGGAGGGAGTTCCATGACCCAGGCCTCACCACCTCCTTGCACAATGGGGATGATGTCACCTAACCCAGACTCATCTCCCCTCAGAGCGGCAGCTGATCTAGTGGTTTCTTCCAACCTTCATAGGGTGGACCCATGGGAGGGGCCATTTTTGTACAAAGCTGTAACATTGTGGGGACAGGGGGCCACGGTGATTCATTTCTATGGGAAACCTTTACAAAAACCTGCCTTTGTATCCCAGGGCCCACAGTCCCTCCACTTCTCTCCTGGGTTACAGGCCTAGATGTGCATAGGTCCAGAATGCTTCACCCCTGAAACATGCCAGGCCAAAGTCACGGACAAGGACAGGGCCAGGTCAGAACTGAAGTTTCTCAGTTAGCGAGAACACAAACAAAAAAAAAAGAGTGGTTCAGTGACCCCCTAGAGATGGAAGATGTAGGGAAACTTCCTCAGTCACTCTCATGAAATTAGCCATCATCTGCAGGAAGGTGCATCAGAGGTGACCAGGTCTGTGGAGGACTCTGGAGAAGCCATGGATGTCCACTCTTGATGGATGTCTTTGCAGGTCCTCAGATCCTGCCCTCTGCAGGCTTATCTCATTTAGACAGAACCTCAGAAGGAGAGCACATGGGGCATCATTCAAGATAGGGATATGCATCCAATTGGATGGGACCTGTCATGTTCTACATTCCTATAAGTCAAACACCAAAAGTGCTCTTTTATGCAATACCTACAATGCAAAAGAGGGCATTCCTCACATCAGGGTCCTCCAGACACTATTTGGGGCCATCCACTCTTCATACTTTAAGCTTGTTTTCCTCCTTGCTCCATGCCACTGTGCAAACACAGAAGTTTTCTTTGGAAAAGGAACAAGACTCACGGTTGTAGGTAAGTCATTTTCCAAGTAAATTTTCAGGCTGGTCACATAGCAGAGCATGTCCTTGCCATCCATTTTAGAGTACCTGTGTTCTGGTGTGCTAACTATGACTATACCTTCGGATCAGGCACCAGGCTTTTGGTAATAGGTAAGGCTAAGGGTCTTTGGGTATGGTATGAAAAGTGTGGACTTATGCCCCAGGAAACATCAAAAGAAGGAACTACCTCATAGATCCTGGTGGAGGGAAAGGCCATTTCATGTTGAAACTGAGTTCAGGGGAAGTTCCCTGTGAGGCTGAATCCATAAATGTAGTCTGAAGGCTCTTGAAGAGTCAGAGCTGAGCCTGTGGTAGAGGGCCAGAAAGGGAAAGGAGACAGAGGAGACGGTGTGGCCTCTCCAAGTACTCTTCTGAGATAGGGGAACCAAGGGGAAATTAATGTGTTGTGACACCTGTCCCCCTTCCTCACTGACAGAGATTCTCAGAAGGGGGTTTAGAGTACTTCATGCTCTGAATTTCACAAGAAGTCCTGCTTTGTCTTTGTTTTTTGCCTATGTCTTGGAAAGCTGAGAACAGGCTTAGGGAGTGTTTAAAGAAGGACTGTACCTCTGTCAGGGAAGAGATCCCTAAAGTTCAACCTCTTCCTGAATCCCAACTGTGCTCAGCAGAAAATGAGGGGTTTTGAAGTGAACCTGGGAGGCTGTGTTCTGGAAGCACAGTCTACTTTGGAGAAGGAAGTCGGCTTACTGTTGTAGGTAAGTTAGGGTCGCACTAGAAAAACTGGTTCTCAACTACAGCACTTAATGTTGCACAGTAGTCTGCCCCTAGAGAGAAAATTCTCCTCAGGAATGAGAGAAGCTAGCTTCTAGGCAGGGGTGGGAAAGAGGAATGGAAGGCAGCAGGAGGCAGTTTTACTGCCATGCTTTAATGTTGTGCTACCAATGAAAGACTGTTTTTCGGCAGTGGAACCAAGCTGTCTGTCCTGGGTAAGTAAAAGATATCTTTCAGGATGGTATACTGTGAGATGGTTGGAGGTGCAGGGAAACTCCTTGAAGAGGGTAAGGACTAAGAACTCGGTCTAGGCTGTTGCTTATCGCTGGTGGAAGGGTGGAGAATGTGCCAGAGCTCCCCTACCCCCTGGGTTCTGCGTGTAGTCACTGCCTGTAGGGAAGCACCCCAGCAGCTCCTCCTGGATTTGCTGCCCTCTTGCTATACTGTGTACCAATCAGGCACAGTACTTTGGAGAGGGGACTCGTCTCTCTGTCCTAGGTAAGCTATGGGATCAGAGTGGTGGTGCCACTGTCCCTTGGAGACAGAGTCTCTGTGCTCCCGATGCTGGTGGAAGGGGCTGAGGAGCTCGTTCACTCCTCTGTTCATGGGCTGCAAGGGGTTCCTTAGGCTGCGCTGGGTCAGCGTTTCTGCTTCTCTCCCATAAGTCTTCAGTCTAGGATCTGCCTCCTCTCCGATTTCCTGGGTTATCCTGACTTTCTGTATGGATAGATTTGCTCCTTCTGAGTCTCCTCCTCCTGTCCATCTCCTGAAGCATGCCTCATGGCATCCTGTAGTCCAGAGCCCTGCAGACAGCAGAGAGAAGCAGCTACCCACCTCTCAGGGAGCCAAGACTAGCCCTCTGGCTGGGGACCTCTGGTAGGTTTTACCAAGGTCACCTACAGCTGTGCTTCTATAATTCGCCCCTCTACTTTGCAACTGGCACCAGGCTCACCGTGACAGGTACGGGGTCTTCATTCCTGACTGGGGGTCCCTGTGTTTGGTTATAGCAGTCTGAGAAGGCAACTAAGTGTATACTCTGGGAACAGTGACCCCTTTCCACCTGGAGCCCTGTGCCCTCTCCTACCTGCCCTGGAGCCTGGCACCTTGCTGTCCCCGTGGTTTGTTGGCACTTTCCAGCTACAGAGCTCTTTGCTTCAGGGCTTTGAGACTTCTTGCCCTTCTCCTCATTATTCTTCCGGACTCTCTTAATTTCAACCTTCTGCTTCATTTCTGCTTCATTTTCTCCATTGTCATGTCTCCGTTCTTTCTAGTCTTGCTCCTCTTCCACATTGGTGACCTGTTTTAGTACATAGCTCCGTCTTCTGGGCTAAAATATTATTGACCTCCAGCACAGACCTCTGACCCTGCCTCCATCTCCCTTCTCTGTGTTTGTCTTCCTGGCAAGGTTTAAAGGACTAGAAGGTGGAGGGGACCAGGCTGGTGAAATAATGGTGGCTGGAGGGCTGCTCCGGAGGCTGAGGGCATGTGTCTAGGTCACAGCATTGCAAGAGCTACAGCCACAGGGGAGTCTGGGTTGCACTGAACTCCTGCGTGTCAGAGTCATAGATCTGAATAAACTCAGAGCTAGAAGCTTTTGTCATGTTAGCAACAAATTAATATAAAGAAGAGAAAATAGATAAGAAGTCTTCAAAGCTCCAGAGAGAAGCTGAGATAATAGGATGAGGGATTGGATCGGTCATAAAAGCCCAACATAGGTATCGTCAAGATTGGGAAGAAGCAGGCAGACTGGGGGAGTGGGATTGGGATGGGACAGTGTCAGGACTAGAGATACAGATGGAAGAATGGGGTACCTAGGTCTTACCTGGATTGGGAGTTTGGGCAGACACTGTCCTGCAGGGTACATGCCATGAGATTAAAGGAAAATATTAATCACTGGATTCAAAGGTCTAGGCTCAAAGGGATGAGGTTGGGGACAATGTGAGAGTGCGATGCGTGAAATTTGAAAATAACTTAAGCTGTTCCACATTCTCTAAGACACATAAAATAGGAAAGATTATTTTAAATGGAAATTCCCTTAAGGGACTCAAAGATTATGGGACCACGTTTATGTCTATTATTGATTATCCTTTGAGTTAGGGTCTGTCTTCGTCCAAACTCATTTCTTGATTTTTCTCCCACAGCCACTTCTCAACTTCAGACAAAGTAAGGGGAAGTACACAAAACCATGCTCCTATGTCAGAACACAGCCTGAGAGAGAAAGCATCAAACTTTAGGGAAAAAAAAGGGGGGGTGGGGGAGCTTGGAGGATGTATGTGATTTTCACACCCCTCATGTTTTCAAAAGGAGTTCATTCTTTTCTGAACAATCCCAGAAATTCATCTTCAAAGTATATGAATGGGTCCAGGGCTTTCCAGTGTGAACCCACTGCTATACTAGCCCTTGAGTTTGATGATTGGTTTATGCCAGCAATTAAACTGTCAGTAAGTTAAAGAATACAAAGTTTGGCTATGGACCAGGATTTTAAAGCCAGCCAAGAAGGATGCTGAGCATTGGAAAAAAATAGAAGAGTTCATTAATCTATGAGCAATATCTTCCATAGGATTACATCTTTCCTGTGTAAGCCACCACAGCCCTCTGACTCCTCAGTGTAGGAGTGAATGTGGAATATCAGATAGGCTATCAGCCAGAGGCAAGCTGGTGCCTCTAAGCAAGTTACAGGCAAATGGGAGGAGGTGAACTGAGCAAGGTGTTCAGAAACTCAGAAACAGAGTCAATGTCAATGTTAGGAGGAAAGTGCATCCTTTAGACAATACCCACACACATCAATACATACACCGCACAAGAAAGAAAGAAAAAGAAAGAAAGGAAGGAAGGAAGGAAGGAAGGAAGGAAGGAAGGAAGGAAGGGAGAAAGAAAAAACTATTTAACTCTTATGCTAATGTTATGAATCTTTTGCCTCAAAATTCAGAGACTCAATTCTACCACTTCAAAAGATCAGATAGTCATGTATAGGTCATGATTTTGAAAGAAAAGATAGATATGTTGGGTATATTATTTTTGACAGGTGATCAAACAAAGCCCCCATGTCTGAGGCACTATAGAGAAAGTCCAGAAAAGTCAAAATAGAATTCCACCTTAAGATCCTGAGGAGACAGTATGCAGGATGCATCCTTAGGAAAAATAAAAAATAAGTGGGAACATCAAAGTCAAACAATAATACAAAACAAGGAGAACCCACTACCGCACAGCTGTACTTTATCCATTTCCAGCCCCTCCCCTAAAGAGAGTCCAGGCCAGGTCTACACATTGCTCATGACATCCCTGATCCCCCTCTCTTCACTTTCCAGAGGACCTGAGCAAGGTGAGCCCACCTGAGGTCACTGTGTTTGAGCCCTCAGAAGCAGAAATTGCAGAGAAAGTAAAGGCCACGCTTGTGTGCCTGGCCAGAGGCTTCTACCCCGACCACGTGGAGCTGAGCTGGTGGGTGAATGGAAAGGAGGTCCACAGTGGGGTCAGCACAGACACTCAGCCCTACAAGGAGAGCAATAACATCACCTACTGCCTGAGCAGCCGCCTGCGGGTCTCTGCAAGCTTCTGGCACAACCCTCGCAACCACTTCCGCTGCCAAGTCCAGTTCTATGGGCTTTCAGAGGACGAAGTGTGGACCCAGAGCTCACCCAAACCTGTCAGCCAGAACGTCAGTGCAGAGGCCTGGGGCCGAGCAGGTGAGTGGGGCCTGGGGACTTGGTGGGGAAACTGAGCATCACTAATGCCAAATGGGAAATGACACCAGCAGAATGGTAGAAAGACAGCCTAGATATAGAAAAATGGTGGGAGGGGAGTTAAGCTCACTTGTGACGATAAGCTGAGTATCTACAGCTGACATAACTCGATCCTCAGCCCAGCAACCTTACAAGGCAGCAGCTCCTTTCTAAGCCACCTGTGCAGCTCAGCATCTGAATAGTTCCTTCCATCTCCTTTGGTACCTTAGCCATAGGTTTCAAGAGTAACAGGCTGGCATGGGCATAATGGAAGAGAATTGATGCTGGGGCTATGTCAGTGGTCTGGGCCTGACAGGCTGTGCTAGTCTCAAGGCTGACTTAATTCTCAATTTATTTAATAAGAAGTAGTCTCATTCATTTCCCTCCTCTTTTTTTTCAGACTGTGGCATCACCTCTGGTAAGTGAGTCTTCATCACTCAGCACCTTGGCTCTAGAACCATGGAAACCAGAAGTGGGGGAGGACAAAGCTACCTACTCAAAGGTTACCTATCTGCTCTTGCTCTCTACTAACAGTATCCTATCAGCAAGGGGTCCTGTCTGCCACCATCCTATATGAGATCTTGCTGGGGAAGGCCATCCTGTATGCTGTGCTGGTCAGTGCCTTGGTGCTGAAGGCCATGGTAAGAAGTGGACAGATGGAGCAGTCAGGGGAGGGGACACATGACACACAAGAAATTCAGATCCAGGAATTTAACGACCCCACCAAACCAAAAGTGGTCAGTAGAAAGGGAAGCCTCAGCCAAACTTCAGCTCCAGAGAACTGCAGTAGATCTGCCATACCTAGGACAAGCTGTGGTGACCCAAAATGCAATGGATGTTGTGAAGCGCCCCAGCAATTGTCTCAAAAATGGGTGCTTCTACTTCCTCTCAGTCCTTATCATGCATTGCTCCTGGTAAAGCCAGGCATTTCTCCCTTCTGCAGGTCAAAAGAAAGGATTCCTAAAGCCTACCCTGGAGGTGCAACCAATAGCTTCCAATTCACTATGCTGTTCATATGGATGCTCTTTTTCCTGTGCTTCTGAAGAGCTGTTGTGTTTTTTCTTTTCATCCCAGTGCCTACCTGCTTGTCATGTAGCCCTGCACATGTATATCTGAAACCTCTGTAACTGGAAGGAAGCCTAGCATACCTAGATGACTAAACCAATAAACGTGTCCTAGAATGGCCTGGTTGACGTGTGTGTGTGTGTGTGTGTGTGTGTGTGTGTGTGTATCTCTGCTTCTTTCCTACCTTTGAACTCTTTGTTCAATCAGGAGAAAAACAAGAAATAGTCAAGAAATTGTACCCACATCATCTTATAAGAAAAGCAAGGGGTGGGGGGGACTGGAGTGATGGCTCAATGGTTAAGATCACTGGCTGCTCTTACAGAGGACCCAGGTTTGACTTCCAGTACCCATGTGGTGGCTAACAACCATCCATAACTCCAGTTCCAGGGGATCCAATGCCCTCTAACCTCCGTGGGTATTGCACAACACAGGTACATTTACACATATGCAGGCAAAACACTCACCTACATAAAATAAAAATAATAAATTTAAAAGAATTTAAAAAGAAGGAAAGTAAGGGCCCATACCCTGTGATTAGGAGAAGAGGCTAATTAAATACAAAAGACAGTGGTGGGTATGGAAACCTTCCTCTCAGAACAGAAAGAAAAACAAAGATGTACGTATAGGAATTTTCTGACCTTCCCTCAATAAAGGTGCTCTGAGCAACAGCAGCTGAAGGTTCTACACAAGTGTGTCAATGTGCCAACAGGTCATATCCCTGTGGCTAACAAGGATTGGTTCCTTATATTCATCAATATTTTTTTCAGTCACTCACTGAGAATTTAAGACTCTGTTCACCAAGTAGTTTTCCCAGCTGACAACATGGTCATATACTGATTTAGAAACTTATTTTCAGTGGCAGATATAACTTTCGGTTTAAGTTACAAATTTGTTGATAAATTTCTCTCTAGTGAATTAGAAGAGGGTAAAATGGTCCCTTGATTACTGTTGGAAGTTTCCTAAAACTAAGAATCAGCCCTTCTTCTATGTCTAGAAATTCCTAAGACAGTCTCAGCAGTCTTGATGTCACTATTGTGATATAGTCACCAACCTTAAGGCAAGATAAAGAGCTGGTGATGTGGGAAATCTAGCTCAGTAGTAGATCACTTGTTTAATGGCATGCATGAGGCCCTAACTTCAATCTCAAGTACCACCATTAAAAACAACCAAATAACAACAACAATAAAAAGCTTTAAGCCTTTATTCTCTTCCTAGCATTCTGCTTTAACTTTAATGAAATATAATTGATAGGCCATTGTTGACATTTCATACTATACAATTAAAGGTGTTTTAGTATGCTTACTAAATTGAACCACCATCACAATACAGAATTTAACCACTTCCAAAAGAAATTTCAGACACTTTAGCTTGAACCCTTTAATATCTCAACATACACTTCAGTCCTAAGAAATCTATGACCTACTTCTGTCCCTGTGTATTTCCCTATTGTGAGCACTTTGTGTGAATTATAGAAGACTGGATCTTTATGATTGACTTCTTTCATGTAGTAGACATTCTGAAAGTTCATACATGTTATAGCACTTATAAGTGCTTTACTTCTTTTTGTGTCTGAATATCATTCCATTATGAGGATATATCACATCTTGGAAACCATTCATAATGGATGGACATTTAGGTTTTTCACATTTTGTCTATTTTGAATAATGCTTTAGTAAACAATGTGAGGAAGCTTCAGAAGAAGACTGGATGGTGGACTTTATCTCATCATTTCACACACCCTGTCCTCACATCCCTTTCAGGGCATTCTGTAAGTCAGTCTCCTGCCTGCCCCATCTGGAACAATGTGGCACCCCTTCTTCCCTCAGAAACCCCTATTTTGTCTTAAAGATTTGGCTTCAGTGTCTTCCTGCAAGAAAATCTTGTCTAGCGTGTTACTCTCCTCTCTCCTCAGTCCCTGAAGCTAGATCACATACACCCTGCATTTGACCATCTAGTACCTCATGAAGACTTCCTTTATGACATTTATCCTACTTGATGGGAAATACGTCCTGTCTGACACTCCCATGCAACAGTAGGTTTGTCATGGTACAGTGACCACAGTCCAAGCCTGAAGGGCTTGGGGACCCCGACAGATAGAAATCAGGACACAGGGGATGCAGAGGTTTATGTACCAGTGCATGTTTATTGTGAACCAAACCAAGCTTATATAGGAATCAGATCTGGAGTAACCAAGGAATAACTAATATATCACTAAACAGAAAGTAACCAAGGAATAACCAAGGATATAGTACGTTACTACCAAGAATACGTTACTTCACCAACTGAAACTCACCCAACATTGACAGTATCCAAGATTCAGCTACATAATATTTATAATATCATAGGTATAAGGTGCACTGTTTGTGATTACTCTTAGCAACTACTATAATTCATTATTTCTACCTAGAAACTAAGCTATCAGTGCTGAGAAACTCCAGTGTCCATAAACTGAAACAGAACTCTTTAGTTATGTTTCCAAGACTGCCAATTAATCAGGGAAGCATAGCCTGCCAACTCAGACCACAGAAGAGAGAGCAGGGAAACTCCCAAAGTGGAAGCATTCTTTCTCCAATGCTTAAGTCAAGGCAAGCTGCCACAGCCTAATGCAGCAATGGCTGTGCCCATAATAATAGTAGCTCCCAACATGTCCCCCTTTCTTATTTAATATAACCACAGAATATACCACATCCAGGATGGAAGGACCGTGCCCGTCCCAGGCTGCCTTCTGCAAGAGCAAAGCCCCACCCGTCATTGGCACACAGCCCCAAGCAGCCATGCCCTGTCCTAGGCCAACTCTCTCCCAGAAGATCCCACCCGCCATTGACTACTGGTCATAGGGGAAGGAGCACACATAATAGCCTTGACAAGACACAAGAATATAACATATCTGGTATCCTCTGCCAAGCTTCAGGTCAAACTGAATTGATCAGACCTAAACAGTAGGTTCCTCCATAATAAAAGTGTGATTTTTTTTATCATATCACTGGAACTTGGCTTGGAACTTTGGTTCAGGGTAGCGATATTATAGTAAATCAATAAATAACAAGGGAAATCAAAGTGACCCAGTTCAGAAGCAGTCATCTTCATGAGGCCTTCCCATAATAACCATCCACCCTTCCACTGCAGCACACAGCCTTCCCTCTCTACTGCAACACAAGCAGTTTCAGAGCTCTGTCTCTGCATATGTATGTGCATATGTGTGTGTATGTACATGCGGATGTGCACATTTACACATACACCTCACATACCCACTCACCCACTCACTGAACACAGATCACTGCAATGTGTTACTTCTCACCTCCCATAAAACAAAGATAACTACATCACAGTATCCAAGAAACTTACCTGTTCATAAAGGAAGTAAGTCATAAGTGAAGAGCTGAAATAAAATAAGAATAGGAGGTAGGAATTGGCTAGGCAGTTAAGGTAAAACGAACCCAAAGAAATGTAGCCAGTTTCTTGACTAAAAGTCAAAATGTCTTTGGGCCTGTTAGCAACATACTCTGTTCTAAGACCAAAAATGTCAGAAGTATTTGGGAACTTGTATCTAATCCTTAAAAGATCTTAGGGTTACCTCTTCAGGGGGAGGAATGTTGTAGAGGAGGGAGTGGGCATGGATTTGATCAAAATAGCTTATATGCGTGTATGAAATTCTCAAAGTTTTTGTAAAAAAAAATTGTTTTGGTCTTTTTGAGACAAGGTTTCCCTATCAGCTGGCCTACTCACTATGTAGATCAGGCTGGCCTGGAACTCACAGAGATCCACCTGCCTCTGCCTCCCTAGTGCTGGGATTAAAGGCATGCACCACCATGCCTGGCTTAATTTTTTTTAAAAAGTTAAAAAAAAAAAAAAAAGCAGTGCTTTGGGATAGACATGCAAACTGTCCACTAAACTACAGTCGGCAGTAGGATTCAGCATCAGGGAAAAGCCTGAAGAAGTGGCCATTTCTTCAGCAATGGCCACATTGTATTCAGAGGGCAGCTGTGCCCACCGAAGGAGGAATCAAAACCACAAGGTAGCTGTGAACTTCAGGTTTATCCATTTAACGGAGGCAAGGGACAGACAGGAGTTATCAAAGTTAAGGATGAAAAATCAGATCAGTACACGCCACTCTGAAAACAGAGTCATTTCCTTGTAGTCGGTATAATCCTGACATAGAGCAGGTACCCATTAAATACTTATGGAATAAGCAAATAAGGAACTTCAACTTTGTCCAGGGAGCAATGGGGGAGGATGGCAGTTTCTAAGCTGTTAGTCTTTGTGCTGTTACCTGCACTGTGCATTTCCCCGTTAAAGGGACCCTCGACCCTTCGCTCCTCCCATCTACCCATCTACCTCACTATAAATGCCAGTCTGAACAGGTGAGCACAGTGAGCCTGAGTGGGGAGACCCAGTGACATAGATGGCCCCACAGAGTCAGAGCATGTTCCCAGGAGGGGCTCCCTGCCCCGGTGAACACCACCCCCACTAGCACCATGGTCTTCTCCAGCCCCTCCCATCTTTAAATTTACACAGCCTTAGTCTTCACCCAAACCCACTCAATCATACTAACCTCTCTGCCACCTGGGTTTCCTGCCCCTGCCTAGGGATTGGGGGAGGGCACCTATTGGGAGGAAATATTTTTGTATCACGGTATAACATTGTGGGCAACTGGGGGGGCACAATGATTCAAACAGAGGAGGCTCTTTTACAAAAAGCTCTGCTCCAGAAAGCATCTCCTCCCAACCCGGTACATGTATTTACCACGTGGAAAAAAAAAAGCAGTGCTTTGGGATAGACATGCAAACTGTCCACTAAAATACAGTCGGCAGTAGGATTCAGCATCAGGGAAAAGCCTGATGAAGTGGCCATTTCTTCAGCAATGGCCACATTGTATCCAGAGGGCAGCTGTGCCGACCGAAGGAGGAATCAAAACTACAAGGTAGCTGTGAATTTCAGGTTTATCCATTTAACGGAGGCAAGGGACAGACAGGAGTTATCAAAGTTAAGGCTGAAAAATCAGATCAGTACACGCCACTCTGAAAACAGAGTCATTTCCTTGTAGTCGGTATAATCCTGACATAGAGCAGGTACCCATTAAATACTTATGGAATAAGCAAATAAGGAACTTCAACTTTGTCCAGGGAGCAATGGGGGAGGATGGCAGTTTCTAAGCTGTTAGTCTTTGTGCTGTTACCTGCACTGTGCATTTCCCCGTTAAAGGGACCCTCGACCCTTCGCTCCTCCCATCTACCCATCTACCTCACTATAAATGCCAGTCTGAACAGGTGAGCACAGTGAGCCTGAGTGGGGAGACCCAGTGACATAGATGGCCCCACAGAGTCAGAGCATGTTCCCAGGAGGGGCTCCCTGCCCCGGTGAACACCACCCCCACTAGCACCATGGTCTTCTCCAGCCCCTCCCATCTTTAAATTTACACAGCCTTAGTCTTCACCCAAACCCACTCGATCATACTAACCTCTCTGCCACCTGGGTTTCCTGCCCCTGCCCAGGGATTGGGGGAGGGCACCTATTGGGAGGAAATATTTTTGTATCATGGTATAACATTGTGGGCAACTTGGGGGGGCACAATGATTCAAACAGAGGAGGCTCTTTTACAAAAAGCTCTGCAATCATACTAACCTCTCTGCCACCTGGGTTTCCTGCCCCTGCCTAGGGATTGGGGGAGGGCACCTATTGGGAGGAAATATTTTTGTATCACGGTATAACATTGTGGGCAACTGGGGGGGCACAATGATTCAAACAGAGGAGGCTCTTTTACAAAAAGCTCTGCTCCAGAAAGCATCTCCTCCCAACCCGGTACATGTATTTACCACGTGGGGAGTAGTCTGTGGGGGTAGCCCCACTTCTGGTCTTGTAGTATCTATGCATCTCTGTGCCCTAAACAGCTTCCCAGGAATATGAAAGTCAATCCAGCAATATATCACCATTCAGCTGTTTTCATAAAGTATCTGTGCATATTTAAGAGCTCATTTTAAAAAGAAATTCTCCATGGGAAAGTTATTGTCCTATTTTTCTGGTGAAATAATTGAGCCAAAGAGGTCACAGGTCAAGTAAGTCACAGGTCACTTCTCAAGGTTACCCACTACCATCAATATTCCTTCAGATTTCAAGGCCATTGTGTTAAGCACATGTGAATTAGACAGGTGTTAATTCCCAAGCCAAAAGTTGTATCTCCTCTGCAAAATGAGGTTAGCCTCATGCAATGTCCAGCTTGCCTTACCAGAAAATTCTGGAGGTAAAGAGAGAAGAACCCAGGAGGGAGAAGGTGGGTGACCCTCAGTCTGTGCTAAGGGAAGTGAGGAAGGAGGAAGATTCTTGGCAGCCCCTTTCTGCTGTGTTCCTATGCTGAGCAGTTCTTCGGGCCAGGGACTCGAGTCACCGTGCTAGGTAAGAAGGCTAAGTAAGAAGCCCACCAAGTGAGAGGGAAGGTGGGATGCTCAACCAGAAACCCCCCCTGAACCAAAGAGCCTTAGCTGTCCACCCAGGTGAGAGGAAGTGTGGGATGCTCAGCTGGGAAAACAGGAAACCCTGAACCAGAAAGTCTCTCCAGAGTGGGCACTTGGCCGAGAATTCTGTGTCAGGGAGAATGGGGTTTGTGCCAGCATCCCCAGGACTGTGCAAACACGGGGCAGCTGTACTTTGGGGACGGCTCCAAACTGACAGTACTGGGTAAGCAAGCCAGTTGGGGGATACTCTGGGATGCCATGGGGAGAGCTGGGCAGCTGCTCAACTCTCTCTGGCCTGAGTTGACCTGCCTGGGCAGGATTTCTGGACTGGATGCTGGGAACAGTGGAGCCCTCCTGGTTGACGAGGGTGGGAGCTGGGACTGGGATAACAGGAGTGGGCAGCACTGGTTTTTGTCCTGGACCTGGAGGCTGTGAGCACAGACACTCAGTATTTCGGCTCAGGGACCAGGCTGACGGTGCTAGGTAAGTTGAGAACCCAAGAGCCAGAGCCAGGGATGGTTGCTGGGGGCGCGCAGGGACACTCAAGTAGGGATGACGGGGCCAGTTTTTGTGCCGCGCCGGGGGGCTGTGAGCCAAAACACCCAGTACTTCGGTGCAGGCACTCGGCTGTCGGTACTAGGTAAGTCAGGACTGCAAGGGACCAGGGAGGTGTGCGTTTTTGTGCGCGACTCCGGAGCCGTGTACCAAGAGACCCAGTACTTCGGGCAAGGCACGCGGCTCCTAGTGCTAGGTGAGCTGGGACGGGCAGGGGCTGCAGCGGGGCAGGTTTCTGTGGGGAGCCCCGGGGCTGCGCTTCGCAGCCCTGGACCTGACTTTCGGGGCTGGCAGCCGCTTGGCTGTGCTGGGTGAGTCTCCTGGGAAGCCGCAGTGGCGAGCCGCGGGGCCGCTTCTCTGCACCTGGTTCCCTGGCGGTGAGCATGAGCCGGGGCTCTGGGGCTCCAGATCCCGGCTTTGCGCTGGGGCTGGGAAGCAGCTCGCTGCACCCCGAGTTTGGGTGCGGGGCGATGCCTCCGTGCTCCTATGAGCAGCATTTCGGTCCTGGCACCAGGCTCACCGTCTTAGGTAAGATTCGGCGGCTCTACCGCTTCCAGCCCTCGCTCCTGGGTCCCTGGAGAAGGGTGGGGTGGACCGGAGCTGAGACTGGCCTGGCTGCCGGCGATGGGGTACAACTCTCAACTTCTCTGCTTCCAGACGGCCCAGTAGGGCAAGGAACTGAGCAGGGACCCTGCCTTAGGGTCCCAAGCTGGGACACAGGACAGAACTGGTTTCCTTTTCTCTCTGGGGTGTTTACTCACAGTGTGATATGTGAAGGACCGGGTTTTGGAAGGGTTTATTAGGACTCTGGAAGCCACCAACTTAGAGAAAAAGACAAAAGGGCAAAACAGGTTTGCAAAATAGGTATTCGGAGCAAAGAGAACTGAATAGGCCGAGAACAACAGAGGTGAGTCCACAGGGTGGACCACTATGCTCCAGGGGGGTCCGGAGACAAACGTTACTCAGACCAGAGTCAACCCAAAGAAAAATGTGCGGGACAAAAGTGGGACCAAGAAACCAAAGATAGATAGCTAAATATGAGTTGAGACAGAAGGATCAAAACAAGCCAGGCTGGCTTTAGTGATTTGCTGTTCAGCAGTGTAGATTTAAAATTTGTTTTAAAACCCTCCCAACTGCTTTCCTTCTAAGCTTGGAACTTCATAAGCAGGATTGAAGACCCATGATCTATACCTGCCTCTGGCTGGTCAGAAGAAGAGGGCTGGACTCAAGGCAGGGGTAACTTAGTCATTGGGGTGTATTTACCCTCAGATAAATCCCCTGAGCTAGCTCACTTGAAAACTGTATTGCTCACACTAGGTGTTCTAGGTTAGACAGACCAGATCATGCAGGGAGTTCGTTGGTCAGAAGCACAGCTTAAAATGCAAATATTTAGTCTGGGAAATGAAGGAAAATGCTTGAACAACCTTAGGCTCCAAGGACTGGAAGGGATCTTAAAAATCACTTGGTGATGGGAACCAAGGCTAAAGAAGGGAAATAATTCAGTCTGGGTTTATGAACCTGGATTGTTTAGTAACCAAAGCAACAATGGACACCATTTGTGGTTAGACTGTTAAGCTGTATGTAATGGGACTCAGTTTGGGCTATATTGTAGCAAGGCTACAGAGTAAGACTTTGTCTTAAAAAATATATATATGAGGAAAATCAAAGTGTGGAGGTTCTTACTAAAAAGAATAGAGCATTAAGTCAAGTACCAAGCCCTTGGATCCCTAGTCTTGTATGAGAAGTGTACAGGTTAGCATGAGCCCTAAAGGAGGTCATATACATACAAATAAAAGAAATAGCCAGAATAAATTTTTTCCATTGTCCTGGAGACTATGATTGAGCTGTCTCTTCGTTGTGACAGAATTGCTTGGAAACAAAAAATAAAGAAAAAGCAAAGAACAAGTTGCACTTGAAGTCAGAGAAGTTGACAAGATAATTTTACATAGTTCAAAAGTCAAAAACCTTCATGATCTCATGATCACACTGTAGACAGGATGTCTTCACACAAGCATATGACAATAGGCCCTCTATGTACTGTGGTCCACAGAAACTTTCCTCCTGCCAAATGTCTCTTACCCCCATTCTCCTTCATGCCTCAATCTTTAGCTTCAGATACAGACAACCTGGCTAATGACAAAGTCTTCTGAATCCTTACACCTGTTCTGGAAATTGTTGTAATCCTCACTTTCCAAACAGAATTAAAGACACAGAGATATCAAAAACTCTGGCACATGGGTAGTTGACATCATTGCTAAGATTCAGATACTCTAATTCTGATTTCTAAGGAGGGTGCCATAACTACTCTGTATAATGATAAGAAGTAAACAGGTGAGTTTTCATTGATGAGTGAGAAATGGAACAATTTTGATAAAGGGACAATGTGAAGAATGCTGGGAAGGGCCATGTATAGTGTCCCCATAGGAGAACAGAGGGGCGGGGAACATTGTTGTCTATTACTCTCCATCGGGTGAGTACAAAAGACAGGCAGAGAAGAGGAAGCATGTCAAAGAGTCATGGAAAGAGGAAAGATGTGGCAGCACACACCTTTGATTCCAGCACTGGGGGGTGGGGGGGTGTGAGGCAGATCTCTGAGTTTGAGGTCAACCCAGTCTACATAGTGAGTTCCAGAACAGCCAGTGCAATACAGTGAGACCCTGTCTGAATAATGGTAAAAATAAAAGAGAAGAATTGCACAATTATCCCAAAGCAAATAGAACCCTCCAAAGCATACTTGCTTTTTGATAAACCTCCACCAACTCTCTGCCTTCTTAGACACAGGCAGTGCCACAGTGCCTGCCAGGTTCAGACAGCCTTCCAAACAGCCCTGATCCCCCTCTCTTCACTTTCCAGAGGACCTGAGCAAGGTGAGCCCACCTGAGGTCACTGTGTTTGAGCCCTCAGAAGCAGAGATTGCAGAGAAAGAAAAGGCCACGCTTGTGTGCCTGGCCAGAGGCTTCTACCCCGACCACGTGGAGCTGAGCTGGTGGGTGAATGGAAAGGAGGTCCACAGTGGGGTCAGCACAGACCCTCAGCCCTACAAGGAGAGCAATAACATCACCTACTGCCTCAGCAGCCGCCTGCGGGTCTCTGCAA